GTAAACCGTAAACCCCTAAACCCTAAACCCTAAACCCTAAACCCAAAGCCCCACAAAGTAGGAGATCCCGGAGTCTCAGGCTCGCTTCAGGGACTGCGGCCGCTCAGGGTTTCCATCGGCACAGCCAGGCCCATGGATCCACGGTATAGGGTTTAGGGTTTGGGTTTAGGGTTTAGGGTTGAGGGTTTAGGGTTTAGGGTTTAAGGTTTAGGGTTTAAGGTTTAGGATCCAGCATCAAACCTTCGTATTATCTGCTTGACTTCCTGCCTATATGGGTAGGTCTGTAAATTAGGGGTCCCTGTTTAGGTCCGCAATATAGTACGGCACCCCTTCTGAAAAGGACCCTAAAAGGGACCCTAATTTAGAGAACTACCGGCAATCTATGCCCCAGTGCATTTCCAGGGGTTCCAGAGGCCCCTAAACCCTAAACCCTAAACCCCAAACCCCAAACCCTAAACCCTAAACCCTAAACCCTAAACCCTTAACACCAAGTGCAAAAAGATGCGAGAGGCTCCAGCGGCCCAGGGTTTAGGGTTTAGGGTTTAGGGTTTAGGGTTTAGGGTTTAGGGTCCAGTGAAAAGGTAACGTAGGTGCTCCAGCCAAGATATCCGTCGCTTGAAAAGCCCACCTGGGAATCCCAAAACCTACCGTTTTGCGGGTTCTACCCTCTACTTAAGCGGTCATAACCTACGATAGTGTAGGGTTTGGTGCCACAGGTAAGGTCTAGGGTTCAGTGTTATGCTCAGGACATGTATGGATTTAGGATCAGGGTTTGATATTTCGTTGCTTTAACTGCCCTCTTCCCAGGTTAAGGATTTGGGGGTAAGTTTCCATTTCGGGTTTAGGGCTTTAAGCTCAGAATTTAGGGTTTCGGGTTCAGGGTTTATCGTAGGCTTAAGTCCACAGGGTTCAACCCTAAAGCCTAAACCCTATACCCGAAACCCTAAACCCTAAACCCAAAACCATCAATCCTCGAAGGACACCTTGCAGAAAGCTTGAAGCTCGACGGCTCCATACACCCATATAGTCAAGCCTTCCTGTAGCCGGAAAACCTACCTTCCTTTTAAGGTTGGGGCTCCTTTAAGGGCTCCTGTATTGTAGGCTCCTTTAAGGGGTTTAGAGTTTGAGGGTTTAGGGTTTAATGGTTTAGGGTTTAGGGTTGGGGCTCCTTTAACGGCTCCTGTATTGTAGGCTCCTTTAAGGGGTTTAGAGTTTGAGGGTTTAGGGTTTAGGGTTTAATGGATTAGGGTTTACGGTTGGGGCTCCTTTAAGGGCTCCTGTATTGTAGAGTTCCCTAAGAATAGTCTTTATATATATATATATATATATATAGATGGCTGATGATGTAAGTCCTGCATTACCAATAATAAGGAACATACCAGATTTTCCAGAGTTTAGGGTCCTTCAGGTAATACAGGATTTATGTCATCAACCGTAGTTCCATAAAAAGGTCGGTGTCTTGGGCTACAGGTCTCAGTACCTATAAAGGAACCCCTCATGACCCAAGTAAAAACTACATGGGCACATGGAGCATTAGGAAAGGAGTTTAGGGTTTCGGGGTTTGGGGGTTTAGGGTTGAGGGTTTAGGGGCTACCCTGAACCCTAAACCCTAAACCCTAAGGAAAGTAACCCTCTGCCTTCGTTCAGTGCACGCTGGAACACTGGAAGCCACCGCTTGGCCAAAGCCTCGGCACAACCAAACATACCATTCCCCATTTAGGGTTTAGGGTTTAGGGTTTAGGGTCATATGGAGTTCCTCAGAGACATGTTTGAAAGGTTCTGTAGAGTTAGCTTCATGGGTTGGGTTTACGGTGGAATATACACACACGCATTCCTATTCCCAAAACTTTCCTTGAAAGGTTGAAAGTTTATAGTGCAAAGATTCCTACTATGGTTCTGTAACTAGGGTGTAGAGGTCCCTATTCCCTGGGGTTCCGAACATAAACATTAAGACCCTTGCAACAGAACACCTTTTCTCGAAACCCCGAACAACCGTGCAACACCTGAACACATGTCCTCGTAAGCCGCTGTAGGGCTTGGGGTTTAGGGTTTAGGGATTTCGGGGCGCGCCTTCTCTTGCCCAAGCTCCACGGCGTGGCAACGGAAACCCAAAGCAGAAATTAGGTTTGAAGTTCCTGTACAGGGTTTTAGAAAGGTTTTAAGGGACCTGAACATGTAACCCTAAACCCTAAACCACTACACCAAATTCGACAAAATGAACGCGAGGATTTAAGCTCGGCATACCAGGCTTTGCAAATTTGCCTTCGGACCACCAAGCCTACTTTTTAGGGTTTAGGATTTTGGGTTTGGGGTAATTTCATGGGCCTTGCACCGAACCCTAAACCCTTAACCCTATATAACCCCAGCATCGAAGCCCTCCAAGCAAAGGGCAGTAGGTTCCCTAGCAAGGGCTTTAAATTACGGCTTCGGGTCTGAAGGTCTACTTGCAGGAAACTAGCTGGAGATTTTTCCCTAATTTCTGCCCCTTTAAACCCTAAACCCTAAAACCCTAACCCCTAAAAACCCTAAACCCTAACCCTGAACCCGAAACCCTAACCCCTAAAACCCTAAAAAACCTAAACCCTAAATCGCATCTCTTTTTTCCCCGAACCGTCGAAACGATCGGCATCCGCAGGGCGGAAAACGCCAGACAACCAAACCGGGAGCTCACGGCTGTGGACCCGAAAGACATTAGGCTGTTAAGGGTTTAGGGTTCAGGGTTCAGGGTTCAGGGTTTAGGGTTCAGGGTTCAGGGTTCAGGGTTTAGGGTTTAGGGTTCAGGGTTAAGGGTCTGGGGTTTAGGGTTTAGGGTTTAGGGTTTAGAGTTTAGGGTCCAGGGGTTAGGGCTTGGGGTTTATGGCTTAGGGTGTAGGGTTTATAGAGTTTAGGGTTTAGGAAGTAGGGTCTAGGGTTTAGGGTTTGGCGCCCCAGGCTCTAGACTTTATACCCTAAAATCAGGCACCCTCAACCCCAAACTCTAAAATCAGACACTTTCCTCTACTTCGATCATGTGCTCGCGGTCCCACTCAGGGCTTGTAGCGCCCCACACTGCAACGCTCCCAGAAGCTCCTCACAGAAGCTCCTACTGTAGGCGCCATTATCATTAGAATGGGGTTTTGGCGCATATTTTACTATAATCCTATATTAGCCTTGGACTTGGGGGTTTATAGAGATCCCCCTGGCTCCACTTACTTAAATAGTAGGGTGCTGACTAACCATAAAACATGTAACACGGTAGCTCACTATGTAGACTCTAAACCCTAAACCCTACTTGGAGGATCATGGGACTTGGTAACTAGGGTTTAAATAAGGAAACTATACTTATAAGTGATTATAACCTCAAGTAAGGCAGTTATGACCTTACTTACTAAGTCCCATGATCCTCCAAGTAGGTACCTGGAGCCCTAAAATCGAAACCCTAAACCCTAAACCCTAGCAGCATTCTTTATTTGCTTTGGGCTGGGCTGGAGCCGAGGCTGTTTGCTGCCTGCTACGGAAAGACTGCTTGGGTATTACGGCTCAGGGATTAGGTTTAGGGTTTAGGGTTTAGGGTAAAGGGGTTTAGGGTTTAGGGTTTAGGATTTACAGTTTAGGGTTACGGTGGCTGCACTTGAAAGGTTGCTTGCATGCAGAGGCCGAAGCATTTTGCTATCTGCTGTTGAAAGCTTGCTCAGGATTTCAAAAGCTGTCGGCGCCTGCTTTTGACAGTTTCGTGCGAACGTTCTAAGCGAATGTGTTCGTTGTTGCTTTGGGCTGGGCTGCAGAGGGGTTGCCTTTCAGTAACTTGAAGGCGATCGTAAGGCGCAGGCTGCTCTTCGCTGCATTCACTCCACTAACGACTAGTATAGGCGCATGCCTTCTCATGTGTAGATATGCAAACCTAAGCCGATGCTGTCTTGAATGTGTATAGCTTGATTCAGGGTTAGTGCTTATGGCTTAGCATTGTAAGGGTTTACACAATTGAACAAAACAAAGGATTGTAGGGGCCTTAATAATTAGAATAGGGTCTTCGGCTCCTTTATCATATAATAAGAAGAATATTAATTTTAAGTAATAATGATAATCATAATAATAATAATAGTACGGAACCCCCAACATAACGCTGGTAATTATTGTCAAGGCCCCTATATTGCTTTGAGGGCTGGCAGGCTTAGGGTCGACTGCAGAGACCTGAAGGTTCTACCTTGGGGTTCAATGGCTTGGACTTGGGGTTTTGGGGTTTAGCGGTTAGGGTTTAGGGTTAAGCGTTTAGGTATTAGGGTTTAGGGTTTAGGGTTTAGGTTTTAGGTTTTAGGCTTTAGGGTTTAGGGTTTAAGATTTAGGTTTTAGGGTTTAGGGTTTTCAAGCTTTAAGGGCTCCCGCAAGGTCTGCCGAAGGCTTGTTGTGGGTTTAGAGCTAGGCTCTACCATAAGGGCTTCAGGGTTCGTTTGAGGCCAGCTAGGGCTTAGATTTTTAGGTTTAGGGTTTGGGTTCAGGGTTCTTTGTCAGTAAACCCCATCCCTATAACACAGCAGGTGGGCATACCTCCTGAGACATGTAACGTTTGAGGCCGCAGGCAATCCCTGCTTCGTGCCCTACGTCCAGAATCCCCACCCTAAACCCTAAACCCTAAACCCTAAACCCTAAACGCCCTCAACACAAAAGCAGAAGACTGGCCAACCTAAGAGCCTCAGAGCCCACACCTAAGGCCCTTTAGAGCCACACGCGCACTTTAAACCCCGAAATAGTAGCTGGTGGAGCTATCGGTCTAGAATCCCTTATACACGCATCATAAGACACTTCGCGTCTAATCCTACATCATGGGGGGTTATGCAAAAGAGCCCTAAACCCCTAAACCCCCTAAACCTCGTAACCCCGAAAACCCGCAGAAGGAGTTCGTGAGGAGATCCCAGATCTGACCGTGCTGGCTCCAGTTTTCCTAAACCCTAAAATCTAACCCAAACAAACATCAAAGCCACGCACGGGGCCAAAATACACTCTCAAGAAGATTTGGGACGCACCTTGAGCCACAGCGACGTTGTCGTCCACGTAGAAGAAGTTGAAAATGTTCAAGTCTTGCAGGCCTCATCAAGTGAAGGAAGACTTCTGCTTCATGGCATACCGTTGTGGGGTTTTGGTGATATTCGGTACTACAGGGCTAAGAACTTCAACAGGGGCAATATTGAGCCAACACACCCTAAAACCCAAACCCTGGTTTAGGGTTTAGGGTTCAGGGTTTAGGGTTCAGGATTTAGGGTTTAGGGTGTAGGGTTCAGGATTTAGTGGTTTAGGGTT